TTCACTTTCTTGTGTATCTGTCCTTCAGTGCACAAGTGTTTTTGCTTTTGAGACAGTTGCAGTTTATCTGTGTGCTTTCACTGCTTGTGCCATACCTAAGAATGAAGTTCCTAGTCCAAGGTGAAGACGATTGGCCTGTGTTTTCTTTCTAAGAGTTTTATAGGTAAGCCTTTAGTGGTAACTGTTTTGACCTGGGTCCTTTTTTTTTTTTTTAATTTTGTTTTCAGTATGGCAAGACTGAGGTCAGTTCATTCTTTTGCATTTGGCTTCCTATTGTCTCTCAACATTTATTTGTTGAAAACACCATTCATTCCCCATTTTTGACACCCTTGTCAAAAAAAAAAAAAAAAAAACCCACGGAGTATAATTCTGAATCTACCTCCCAGCTCTCAGTTTTGTTCTATTTACATAGAAATCTATAAACATCTGTCTGTGTATTCTGACATTAATACCACAGTCTCTTCGCTATTGTAGCTTTGTACATTTTTCAGGATTGTTTTAGCAGTTTTGTATCCCTTGAATTCTCATGTGAGTCTTAGGATGAGCTCCTGAAGGGGGAGCAGGCGGCTGAGGTTTTGGTGTGAACCACGGTGAGTCTGTGTGAGCGACGGTGAGGACTGCTGTCTTAGCAGTTTCAGTCCTGACTCGAGCACGTAGTTATCTCTCCATTTATGTAAGTCTTCCATTTCTTTCAGTAATGCTTTGTAGCTTCAGATTATAGCTTTTCTATTTATTTTGTTAAATTTATTTATATTTTCACATACTATTCTAAAGGTAATTTTTAAAATTTAATGTTTGATTGGCATTGCCTTGCACAGGAATATATTCTTTCTTGCCGTCTATGACTTTGCTGAACTTACTAACCCTAATAGATTTTCATTTATATAATATTACATATGTGATCATGTCATATGTGTAAGTAGAGATTCTTCATTCTTTCCATTCTAGATGGAGTTTCGCCCATGCCTAATTGTCCTTCCTAAAGCTTCTTAGTACAGTGTTAAATAGAAATCACAAGAGCAGACATCCTTGTTTTTATTTATAATCACCTTTAGAGATGGGAGGGTGGTGCATGAGAACTTACATACTTTTCTTTCTATTTGTTTATGCTTGAAATTTTACATCATAAAGCTAAAAATAAAGTTAAAATTCCATTAAAATTTTCACCTCCATTCTCAACAATTATTTTAACTTCCTTAGGTTTTCTTCTCCCTCTCCCTTATGTTGTTCTTTTGTCTCATCATTTTTCCTAAGGTCTTCGATCAGTTGAATTTATTTTATTGAAGTGTGTACTTGAATTGTTTCTTCTCTCCTCTGCCCTCCCAGAAATATGCATGGTTTATATATATTCTTAGGTATACTTAGCTAAATTTTTTTTTTTTTTAAATTTTGCCCTCACACTTTTATGACTTGGTTGGTGTAGGATTGTGTATATGTTACTTTATCATCTTGTAACTTTAAATTGTCATATTAGTCCTTGTACTATTACCTTGACATATTTATAGTTTACAGTTTTCACCAGTTTATTGTATTACCATCCAGTCATTATTACTTTGGTATTTGGTGGACCATGATATATGAGGTTTGATGTTAAACTACTTGTGATTGTTTAACGTTATTACAGTAAAAGACACTTTGCCATCAATCCCCCTCAAATACTGCCCCTGTCCTCAAACACAATGATCCTGTTACTCTTGCCACTTTTTGAGGCAGTTCTGGAGGTCTTTAGTTGTGCCGTCCTGGCTGCCTCGATACTCTGAATCAGTTAAACATGTTGACCTCTCATGGTCATTTTGACTTCGGGGAAGAGCCAGGAGTCACAGGGTGCCACACCTGGCGGATAGGAGGATGAGGACAAGCACCCTGTTCTCATGAGCCTTGCTTTTCAGTGACTGGCACTCTGCAGCGGCATTCACGGTAGTGTTTTAAATCACATCTCATAAAGCTCAGGAAAGAGGACTTCAGAACGGCTTCAGGGAGGGGCAGGACAATGGGATACGTGTGTTTGAAGTGGGTGGTGTCATGAGGGGGTTAATGGCAGTGTCTTTCACTGTGATAGATTTTTAAAAAGTTGTAAATATTCACCATAATTTTGATCATGTACATATATACTGATGTATTTCCAAAATGTACATTATTTCTATATTTGTGTGAATATATGCACACATAGATATACCTTAAGGAGAAGCACATATAGCTGTCAACGTATACACACGTGTTTAAATTCTATCCTTTATTTTTTTATTTTTTATTTATTTTTTTTTTGGTTTTTCTCCGGTACCGGGAACCGAACTCACGACCTTGCGCTTGCCAGGCAAGCGCTTTTGCCGCTGAGCTAAATCCCCAGCCCCTAAATTCTATCCTTTAAATTCTCTCCTTTTTGAACTTCTACCAAGTGAATATTAGATACTCTGGTTTTATTGTTTTGTCTCTTAGACTTTTTATGTTTTTGTATTTTAATTCTATAATTTAAAGATTCTGCAGTCCAGTCTTCTGAATTATAACTTGTCTTTTCTGTCTGGTTGCAAAGGTTTCCATTTTCCTTTAGTTGTGTTACCTAGCTGTGGAGTGATTTGTCTTTCCCGCCTCTGCTGTGCTCTCACCCCACCCTTGATGATATGGTGGGAGCTATGGGGTCTGTCCTCAGAACATAATCCCCATAGGTACATTCACAGAGTGTTTTGTAGACAGCATCATGTGGTTCCAGAGCTTCTAGAAGCTCATTCATGAAACTTAGATCTTTGGTATTCAAAGTGCCTTTCTCGTACCAGCTGCCTTAGTACCACCTGGGATCATGTTGGAAATGCAGAATCTCAAGCTTTGCCCCGATAATGAGTTAGAATGTCCATTATAACAGGGTTAGCAGGTGCTGTTTCATATTCACATTTGAGAAAGCAGTGCATCTACACCACAGGTTAAGAGTCTCTGTATTGATTCTTTCCCTTTTTTAAAAAGGGTAGGATATCTGGATTATCATGCAGAGTACTTTTTAAAAAATCATGCCTTGATCACCAGTATTAGAAGGTGAAATAGTTGCAATGCAATGTAATATTTGAATAGCACACTTTGAAATACGAAACACCAGGCATCAAAGAGGGACTGATGTATAAACTCGTCTGGCAGTACTGCAGGCACCGCAGTGCCTATGAGCCGGCGGTGTCACGGTCACATGCCTGTGTACCTCTTTCTGATTGTATATGTATGTGTATGTCTTCATCATTTGGGCTGCTGTAACAGAATACTATAAACTGGGTTTCTTGTAAACAACAGAACTTTATTTTTCATGGTTTTGGAGGTTGGGAAGTCCAAGATCAGGGTGCTGGCTGATTCAGTGTCTAGTGAACTTCCACTTTCTTATTTATATTCCATGCTTTCCACCTGTGTCCTTCCATGGTGGAAATGGCTAGGTGACCCTGTAGGGTCTGTTTTGTAAGGGTGCTGTTACTATCGCTTATAATTACCTCCTGAGGTCCAAAGTCTAACCTCCTAATGCTGTCGCCTAGAATCTCAACATACATTAGAATCTCAACATACAAATTTAGGGGGACACAGCGTTCAAACCATATAAACACACAGACTCATTTGCTTGTTATAAGAATGCTGTCTATTTACAAATAATACTATTATTATTTCCACTTTCCAGATAAGGAAACTGAGGCACATAAAGTATCTTAGCCTAGCTCACATAATTAGTAAGTGAGGGGGCTGTGGTAGCATGACTTTCTAGAATCTGTGTTTCTAACCATTGCACTGTACTGCTCCTTTGTAGCTACTTAGAGCACTCCCTAAATTCATTGCAGCTTTGCAGGCAAGCTGATTAATTCCTCCTGCATTTCTTCTCTTTAATTTGTTACTAGAGCTCATCTGCTTGTGGTGCTGCTAGAGATGGGTGAGCCTAAGATGCCAGATTATTATTGTTTTCTGAATTAATTCTGGTTTGCTATTAATTGAGATTTCTAAATGAAAAGATGTTAGGTTATTGGATTTTACACTACCTACCCTCAAGGTTTGTTGTAAGGTTATTAAATAACTTATGCAAATACTTTCTACATCAAATTTTAATTTTCTTCCTCAAATGGGCAAAAAACAATTTATAGCAACAGTAATTGGATGGCTAATAAAATTATAAACAAAGATTAATTTCAGAAGCAGGCAGAGAATGCCACCTATCAATTTAGTGAAAGTCAAATGTTCAAAATGGTCAGTGAGGACAGTAAAACTGTGGCTGGAACATGGTGAAATGACCATGTGTACTTGGCTAGTAGAAATGGCAGTCTTTTGGCTCATGAGATTTTTTTTGGTATTATTTGCCTATCTTGGACATTTTTCTATATCACTGTCCGTAAACTATTTCCCTAATGTTGAATATTAGATTGTTTACAGTTATAGTCATAAGTAATATTGTAAAAACAAGCTTTTACTAATTTTTGTTTGACTTTCCCTGTGATAAAAGTCATAAAAGTAGCTTACTACTGTACCAAAGGTTGCAGTGTGCCTAATTTTTATTGCTTACCATGTACTAATTACTTGAAATATTCTCTATTAATTTAACATTTTTTATTAAAACTATGAGATGCCCTTGACTTTAACTCTGCTTTTCAGGAAACTAAGCCACAGAGGAATTAACTATTTTTTACTCATTCAGAGCCAGTATTTGTTTTCCAGTAAGATTTTATTACATTAAAGCTTTGACCATAGAACTTAAGGTCGCATATCTTGTATGCCCTTCGCAGTGAGATGCTGCAACGGTAACACCACAGCAGTGAGCACAAAGAGAACTGTAACTGTGGTCTCTGAATACTGTTTCTCACTAAAAGGAACCCGGGTGGTTGGACGGATGACTGAGTCCAGTCTGGAAGAGCAAAAACAAAAGATGAGCCTGGCATATCCTGTTGTTTCAGGAAGCGTGGAAGCTGCCAGCAACGAGGTGTTCATGCCGAAAGGACCCAGTGACCAGTGTAAAGGGGCAGTAGGCCGAAAATGAGAGCTCTTGAGTACCAAAAACAGTAATGACGACGTTGGTTGAAATGCAGTGAATACATAAAATCTTCGAGGTTCATTCGTATGGTGGGCTCCTATAAGACACACACCATTGCAACACACCACAGCACTGCTGCCCTGCTAAAGCCATACGAAAGCCATGCTCTGAAATTCAGCAGCGATGAGGAAAGAGTCCAGCACTATCCTCCCCTTCCCTTGCAACTGTTTCGGGGTAAGCAGGGAACAGAGCTTGCCGAGGGAAGGTTTTCACGTTCTAGTGAGCCACAGCCTCTCGGTGGTGTGTGCTTTCTCCGTGGCTGCTGTTGTGCTGCTCTGACAGCTGAGGAGTTGCAGCAGAGACCACATGGCCCGCAGAGCCCGAAATACGTGTGTTCTCGTCCCTTTGCAGAAAAGGTTTTCTGGCTTAAGCTGGATGAGTAAAGTGAAATGACACCAAAAGGAGGTGACATCACAGAATATGGGCAGCTTTTACAAGACAGCCAGTCTGGTATTTCTGTAACAAATCATTGGCCTGGAACATGAAAGAGTATCACCTAAATCTCACCATCCGAAGGCCTAACATTGAGATGTTGGGTCCTGCTTCAAATAAGCAGATATGAACAGACATTTATGGGACAGTCAAGAAAATCTGATTATCACTTGGCCATATTAAATGATGCCAAGAATTACCGTTAGCAGTCTGGATGTATATTGGGGTAAATAGAGGTGAAATGGTACCTGGCATTACTTTAACATACTTCACAAACAGAAAAGTAAGTTGCAAAGTCAGGAGTCAAACTCAGGACTTCCTGGTTAGGACTCAGTACTCTCTACTGTGACATCATGCCATGCTACATGGTCTGTAGTACATTTTAGTTTTGCCTTTAAGACAAACTGCGTTTTACGGTACCTACCTGCACCGGCCTGTCCTTTGCAAACACCCTCGTCCCTTGGATTCGATCAGTGTAAGCCCCTGGTTTCCCCTGTCCGCTGTGTCTAGATGTCATGAATAGAAGGCCATCTATTAAGGATGAGTCTACATTGTGTGCTTTTAGCAGAAATTTGATTCTGATGCTCAGCAGTTACTAGATTTAGTCCTGTCCAGTTAATTGCTGTGTCTCAACTTCGTGGGCCTTAAATGAAAATATCAGTTACTGCTGGGACTGTTTTAAAATGAAAGGGTATAAATGAATAAAGTGTTGTAAATGGTGAAACATTAGCTGATATAAGACCTGTTTATAGTTTGGAGGGAACATGAGAGAATTCAATGGATGGTCTTAGTAATAAGACAGACGTGTGGGTTTTAGTTCTGTTTTTTAGATTTACCATCTTGAGCAAGTTACTACTGTGTGTTTTTATAGTTTATTTTCTTCATTTGTAAAGTGAAGATAATACCTATCCAAATACTTCGTCTTAATAAGTAAATTAAAATCTGTAAATGTAGCAACAAATACACACTGGGAAATGTTTTCCTCTTTTACTTGAGGAAGCATACCTGTACAGCAGAGTTAGCTTATTTACACAGGATGATTTTTAAAAGGTGCATAAAAAAGAATAAGCTTCAACTTCACATTAACATACTGTTTTAGGGTTTTGTGAATGAGTAGGTAAGTGAAGATAGGAGTTTCAGTAGACGTTAATGGGAAGCTAGCTGTTTGCTTAGAAAAAAAAAAAGAGTTATTTAAACATGTTGATGGGCTATAAGCTATTAAGAACCGGAAGTCACTGATGATCAGAAATGGAGAAGATTGGTGTCCTTGCCTCCCCTGCCACTCCCCAGACAGACTGCCAAAGCTGGTGCGGAGCAGAGCTTCCTCGGATCTGAAGGTGCGGCTGCTTGGGAGCTGTGAGCAGTCCTACATTGTTTACATGCTGAAGGACAGGACAAGGAGGGCCCTCTGGAGTGAACAGCTGAATCTGAACTCCCCTTCCGCGGTGGTTTTCTTACTTCATTCCCTAATAAAGGGATGGCTGTCTTCCACTTCATATTTCTCTGTTCTTTTCTCTTTTTTACCTTTCTAACTATAAATTGAACCAGGTTTTTACTTGTGCAAGGAATGCTTCATGCCTTATTTTGTAATCTGATAATTTGAATCATTAAATCAACATTTTCTAAGATCTCACTCAGAAACTGGGAGATCATTGCTGGGGAATACCAAGGTAGGGAGGAAGGCGGCAAGGAGTGAAGAAAGGGAGAGACTTTTTTTGCCCTGAAGGCACTTAAAATTTGGTGCCCGGGGAGAGCGGTTAAATTAGTAACCCCACAAGACGGCAAGAGCTGTGTAGTAGTATGCTCACAACACTGAAGTGATGTACAGTGGGCACAGGAGGACTCTGACTCTTCTTACGCCACGTAGAGATGTGTGTCCTGCATCGGGTGGGAGCACTGGGGGAGGTCGACTGCACCAGGCAGAGAGAACATCATTCTCAAAAACAGCCGAATTTTAGGTACTTGATTGGTGCTGAAGCCCGAATATATACATACAAGGAAAGCAGGAAGGGGTAGCAGTCCACCTAAGATGGATGAGATGGGGAGGACCAGGTCGGGGTGGCCTTAGAGGCTGTTATGCACGGAGGCGTTGGACCGGCATGTTGGCCAGCTTGCCACTTGCTGGGACAGGACGTTGGACGCAGATTGAAGGAGAGGCTTATTTTGCCTCACAGTTTCGGAGGGTTCAGTTCAGGTCAGCTGGGTCCAAGGTGAAAACAGCATGTGAGAGGCACAGCGGAGGAAAGCTCAGCGTCTAGCACCTGAAGGAGCCAGAGGATGGGCCAGGTACGTACAGTCCTCATGGTCCGTCTCCTCCAACAGGGCCCTGCCTCCTGATGCTGCTGGTTTGCTCAGCTAGGAGTGCATCATGCCCTCAGTCCAGCCGCCTCTCGCTGGGTCTCCATCCAGTCAGACTGAGAGGCAGGGTTAACTGGCACATGGAGTTAGTTTTTAAGATTAATATAGGTGTGCCTTTTTTAAAGTTCTAATAGCCCTGCAAAGAATAAGAAAATTCATGAGAAGGTGGTTCAAAAGGTCAGAGTGCTTCAAGGTCAAAAGTAGGAAAATCAGCTTGCAAACTGATTTATTGTTAGATCTAGGAAATATTGATTGATGTGAGCCAGGCATTATTCTATGCTTTTTGTGGAGCTTACATTTAATGAAAAAAGCAAAAACAAAACAGGAAAGCAATATCATGAAATTAGGAAGTAAGAGAAAGAGTGGCAAGGAGGAAACCTGGAAGGACTTCCAGGTTTCTGCTTGGACAGCTCGGAAGTGCTGGCCATTCAAGGTGGAAGAGGAGGAGCAGCCCGAGGGTGCACAGTTCGACATACCGAGGTAATAGGAAGTTGAAGTGGTACAGAAGTGGAAAGAGACCGTCACTAAGGTAGAAACAGTAACGCATTTTCTTCATAGGCTATTGTTAGGATCAAATGTGCTGAAGCGTGGCAAGTGTTGAGACCATCATCTGGCACACACCGCATGCTTACGTTAGGTGCTGTTACTGTTACTCAGGATGATAGGTTTCGAGCTAGAAAAACATCTGTCTCGGTATTGGCAGTTTCATGTACCAGCTATTTGGCCTTGAAGAAGCCTCTTAAGTCAAATCTTGTATATAGAATGAGAATAGCATCAGTATCTCCAGGTGCTCTACCGGGGTGCAGTAAGGGTTAGCAATAGTAAATGAAAAGCACCAGCACGGTGACTGGTTCAAGATAAGGGCTCGTGTTCAGTGAATCCGGGGAGCCAGGTAAAGTTCGAAAGGTTTGGTTGGGGTAGGAATTGAAGAGCTACCAACATGGAGAACTTGAGCCTGTAGACATACAGAATGAAAAGATTCTCTAGAAAGGAAAGAAGAATGACTAGAGACCCCCGAGTAGTTGGCAAGGGAGGTGGTTTACTGAGAGTACTGGAGGAGGAAGTTGTTGGAAGGCTTGAGGAGAATAGTGAAGGCAGATACGGTTTTCAAGTGAATTGGAAATACAGCTGAGTACAGGGTTATTAAAAGATTAGACAGCAGCATTGAGTAGCCAGATTAATTGAAACCATGAATTTATAGTGACACTGTTGCTCATAGTGGTACAGTTTTCTCCAGCTATCTGACACTGGATTCAGAGTTGATGTTTCTGAGGATAAAGTGTTTTGTAGGTGGATTGTTGGTAACTTCTTGTCTTGGTTACTTTTCTGTCACTGCTGAGGCAAAATACCCAACACCCAAAATTAAGGAAGGAAAAGTTTATTTAGCTCACACTTTGTGGAAGTTTGTCCATAATCAGCTGGCTGCAGGGCAGAGTGGCACATGGCAGTGGGCAGCTGTTCATGGTGGCAGAAGATAGCAGAAGCAGCAAGAGCAAAAGGGAGGAGCAGCGGGGAGCAACCCTCTTTCCCTCCCTTATATTGTATGCAAACTACCCTCCCCCAGGGCCAGTATAACTCTGATACGAAAATCCCAGCATTGGACCATGAATCAGTCATGAGCTCTAGAAACCCACCCCATGACTGCATGAAGCTTTGGGGGGACATCCAGACACAAACCATAACACTTTTGCTACTTACATTTCAGGAATTTGCTAGGGATAAAAGCCAGACTAAAGGTTCAGGAGTAAATGGTAGATACAGAAGCTTCATTAGTTACTGTAGGTTCTTCTTTGAAATTTTGGTTAAAAATAAACAGCAGAGTGGGGACCAAGATAGGAATGAGGGAGGTATGCTAGCAAGAAAGGACTTGTTAAAACAGACAAGAAATATCTGAGTATACATTTAAGAGAGACAAAAGAGCCAGAGAAAAGGTCTGAAGGTGAAACAAGAGAGGGACTAAAAAGTGATCTGGATCCAAAGTGATCCTACACTGGGCATGTTCTTGGCTCCATAATAGTCACTGGTGAACTCAAGATCCAGCTTCTCTGTCAGTGGGATGCAGGGTTGTCACTCATAACTTCATGGTTTTGGCTCTAGAGACGGCTAGAAATAGAAAAAACTATTTACTCTTTCATAAGTAGTAAGGTAGGAAAAATATACCAGCGGGATATCTGATACAAAAAGGACAGCACTGGGTTAAGGTCAATAAACATTCAGAATCTACAGATACTGACTGTGGTTTTGACAATTAGTAGTTTCTTTGAGGCATTGTTAAAAATATACTTAGAATTCAATGAAGTAATGTGGTCATAACATTCCTTTCCTGGCTTATGTCACCAGCTCTTTTATCAGTAGTTCAGACTAATTTTTGGAATAAAAGGAAT